TCTTAATCTTCCTTGGTTTTCCACCATTAAGTTCTGTCATTCCATGAACTTCTGAGAAGACAACAAGATCCCCATCTTGAAACTCAAGCCTCTCATCATCAACACATGAGACAAGTGCAGGATTGTCATTGCTAATGGATGCAATTATACCCGTGTGAGGATCCTCTCCATCAACATCAATCACAGTGAACTCAGGCCCAAAATCACAAAATATAGAACCAAAAAGACCTCTAACTTCAGCCTTGATGAAAGAGATAGGAGGCTGATGATTATGACAGTAATCACTAAACTCAATGGCTTTCTCAAAACTGATATCAGTAAATACAACAGCCTGCACATATGGGATGAAGGCAAATTATGTGATCGAATATAAAAAGAATTTACGAATCAACATACAAATGTAATTTAGAAGCAAGATTTTAGACCAAATTGCATACTTTTTTTTTAAGGTCAACACACACTCCTGAAGGACCAGAATTCCCCTTCATTTCCCATCTAGTCCCACCTTAGAAATAGCTAAACTTAGTTTTATTCCTAAATGAGTTGGATAAAAATAGCTGCTTTTGAGATGATGATGATAATCAATGTTCAGCATTATTTCTCTAGGTTTGTTAACAAAACATTATGGAGCAATTCCAAAGTCAGGTGACCTTTAATAGATCCAAAACAATAAGGTAATAATTATAGATCAGAAGAGATCTAAAGATAAATAAATACCTGGAAGTCAGAAAGTTTTTCCTTGGTTAATTTCGTTGTTAACGTGGAAATGATCACAGCATTGTTAAGCTCTTGTAACTTCTGAACAGAGGCAAGGGCCCTGTTTTTACCAACATCACTTTCTGAAAACACAAAGTTACTGGACAAATCCCACAAATCCACCAACCCTTCGTCATGCAAGGTCACAGACTTGACACCAGCAAGAATGAGGTTCTTGGCTGCAAAAGCAGAACAAATAAAAGTAACGGTGAGAACTGCAGATCTGATGCTGAAAGAACAAGACACAGAACAAATCTAAGACACCAAAACTCAATCCGTCGTCACCTAAGGCACAGCATCAATCTATAAACATCAAATATACATCTCACGAGGCCGTCCAAAAGAATACTAAAACCAGGGATTGAGACCATGCGTTTCATACAGATCAGAGATAGATTAGCTGCAACATAATGTTAAGCTCATAGTTTTCAACATTACACATGGTTTTCCATTACCTTTTAATTTGACTCTTCCACTAACCATACAGCGGTTATTCAGAAACTCAAATATCAAAGTTTGCACACACAAAATTCAGCCAATCAAATAAAACCATCATAAACAAGACATAACTAAAATTTTAAAACTCTAAGTATCAATTCCCTAAAATTTCATCAACTTTTACATCTCATGATTCCGTAGAACCATTCGATGAAACTATAAACTGGATCTATCTCAACCCATAAGGAAAAGCAATTATGATTGCATATAGACAAGATACAAATCAAAATTTGTTAACAAAAATAGAACAGGTTTCGAATTTTCATACCAATCTCAGCTCCAAGACCCTGCATCCCCGAAACAAGAATATTCGATGCGAAAAGCCGCCTCATAGTCTCACGGCCATAGACGGCCAGCTGCCGACTGTGTAGATCCTCATCGATTTCAGTGTGATTCGCATCGCCAAGAGCCATGATCGATGGTGAAGATTCAACTACTATACAGTTAGTCTGGTCGCTGTTGCCTCCGATTCTTGCACCGTTAACACCGTTCTTAGCCGTCGATTCAGTGGCGGCCGCGGGGGCGGCGGCAATGATGCAGTTATCAAGGCGGTGCTTCTTGAAGGATGATGCAGCTGCGTTACAGTTGTTGTTGTTGTTGTTGTTCGTGGTGGTGGTTTTGGTGTCAGGTTCTATAACTACTTCTCCATCATCAGCAGCTCTCTTTCTAGGAAGCATATAGAGTCGTAAACTGCCGAAAATGCCACAAAACCCCATAGAAATTACGGTCAGTACCACAAATGAATATAAAATTAATAAGCAGTTATGGCTGAGAGGAAGAGAGGCGCGGTAGAAATACGCGACAAAGATCGGAACAGAAACTATAAACCCCAACCCTAAACCCAACTTGAACATGATTCTAAGGCAGAGAAGAGAAGCAAAAAGGACACGCACCGATTCCGAGTATTAGCAACAGAAGAATGGAATCTTTCAGAAGAAAGAACAAGATTTAAATCTTGCTATGAAATCTTTCTTTTTTCTTTTTTTTTTTGGTTTTGGAGACGATTCAAAGAAAATTGATCAGAAGAAAGAAGAAAATGGGGGTAAGACCAACAGGATTTACCTTGGAAAGAAAGGAGAGAATCAGCTCGGGCTCAGCACTAGTTTTGTGGGGACTGAGACAGAGAAATGACTCTTTTTGAACGTGTTGAATCCTGGTAAAAAGCGAAAATTCAGCTTTTATTAACTGGCCCAATTACCTCGCCTTACCCCGAACAAAATAAGGAAACAAAAGAAAAAGAGTTTTTGAAAAATATATTCCTCCACAAGTGTGTTATAAATGAAGAGAATAGATAATCCTTTTTTTCAGATAAGATTAAGTTATATAATATGAAAATAATAATATACCTTTCAAAAAAATAAATATAATATAAAATATAATACAAAATTTAATTTAAAAAAACAATATTCAAATTAAATCTAAATTTTAATTTAATTGAATAATAAAATTATCAACTTATAAATAAATCCCTTCTCTTCTTCATCGTCAGGATATCAAAATCAAAATTTTAAAATAATAATAATAATAATAATCTCGTGGCAATCAAAATGGGCCAACAACGAATGTCACCCGATTTGATCTGTGAAGTAGAGAGTAGGCAAGTGGGACTTACCCTGTCATAAAATTATAAATAAAATCTAATTAGATTAGACATAATAATGTCCAATGATATCAGATTTTTATTGTAACTGTTAAGGTGACACGTTATTGAAAATAATGTCTTTAGTCTTTCATAAAATAGTAAGGAGTCAATTGAATAGACTAAAAAATTAAAAATCAATTTATACCAATAAAATTTTAATTGGGCAGAATAAAACTATAAAAAGCCAGAGAGTTCAAATGCTTGGATGGTACGTTAGCTGGTTGAAGGAATGAGGATTGGCGACCAAAGTTGACCTCACGCCCATCTGTATAAGAATCCAAATTTTCCTTCTCGATGCTTAAAACTTGGACGGAAAAGCGAAGAAAGAGGCAATAAAAGAATAAAATATGAAAAGGGTAAAAAAAAAGTTGACCAATCAAAATGCAAGAAATTAAAATACAAGTAAATAGCAATCAAGTTACCAAAATGCGTAATAAGTGAAAAGACTATATGATATCTGCAACTAAAAGTATATATGAATAATTATGCAACTGTCTTCCAAATGTAATCCATTTTGTATGCTCTTCATTGCTATAACACAGAAATCAAGACTATCCTGGGAAGCTTCTCATGCTAAAATCACAGCCTCGGATAATAATAGTGAGATAAGAAAAATCAAACTTAACGGTAGTAGATGGAAATTTGAGGAATGAAATCATTGTCTTCATCGTCCTCGCATGCCACACAAATCCAAGTGGGATCGTAGGGAGCGCATATCTGCCTTGGCAACTTCTCGAGCCACATCCACCATCTTCGTCCAGCCGCTCTTTGTGCTTGGGAAACATGCTGTTGAAGAGCGACAACTTCCGTAAAATGCTGTAAGCATTCAACCCCTTATCTTTGAGCCACTGGATGAGTTCCCTCAGAGTGGGATTGTCTCTCAAGATCCACCTGTCCCATACAGTCCAGCTCATCTCCCGGTGCTTCATGACCTTGGGGGGCACTGGCTCAGCCATGGAGAACAAAGGCAGCGCTAAGTTCGCAAATGTATTTCGATAGTCCTCCACTTTATGTGCTCCATCTAGAACCTTGTATAGCTCAAGGCAGACAAGGCCTGTAGCCATAGCCGTGGAAGTGGCAATTGCTGGTATGATTCTTCCAGCAATAAACTTGGCTTTAAGCTTATCCACCTCAGGAATGCTATAGTTCCTTGCTCATGTTGGCAAGCGCAGCAATAAAATCCATGTGATAGTTTGTATCATCATCCTGCAAGTTCATGAAATTAATTTAACTTCAAACAGCAGTTTGCTAAAGGCTTAACTGACACAAAAATACCTAAATTCTTAATGTGTTAAAGGGGCATTTCATCCTTGAAAACAAAATCCTACTCCAAAGGACGTAAAAACCTCAAAGTTAGTTTCCTACTAATAAGTCCTATTGAATTGAAAATTTTCCACCAATCACAACCAAACCAAGGAGCATAAAGACAAGACAACTTTAACCAACTGTCCATCATAATTGCTACAGAATGTTTCCGGAGATAAGATCAATATATAATCCAGAATAAGGATAAGCTGAAAAGGATATGATCATAAGATATCACAACAGAAAAGACATGGGCAAACCTTTTCAAATTGAATTGGTTTCAACCTGAATCCTGATGGCAGATTGTTCTTGCAAAGCTCTAACTTGTAGAATAATTCATTAATAGTGGCTTCATCATTCACAGATGCAGTTGAGAGACTAGTGTCCTTCTCATCTGTGTTAATTTTAACACCTTCCTTTGGCTGAAAATCTGGGACTATAACGCTCTCGATTGCCTCAGCCAACATCTTCGGATTCTTGACCCAGTCTGGGACTGCGATACCGAATGTCTCAGCTCTAAGTATAGATGCTGCCATAATAAAGTGGAGATGGCTAGATCAGCAGATGAACTGAAGTGGATGGCGGAATCGCTTTTGGCAGACCAAAGGGAGCCCCAGTACTGGTTGCAGCATCTTCAGGGATGTATATATTAACTGTTCACCCGATTAACAAAATAGTCCTCAAATCTGAGTACACAAGAAGGATAATGTCATTATCAAAAAATAGAAACGTGACTAGAAACTAATGCAAACAAAATTTTCCTCAATCATCTAGAGTACTACCTTAGGCGAGCCCAGGTCACACAATCCTGGAATGTCTCACATTTTTCACGGTCAAGGCACTCAAAGATGCGCTCTAAGTTATCCTTAGCCTGAGCATCGCCAGCATCTCTCATTGAAGCGGCATATTCAACGGGTTGGACAAATAGAATTCACTTCAGCAGGAGTTTTCTCAAGCAAGCCCTCAAACTCAGATCGAGCCCATGTCAAGCAGTGATCAATATTGTGTGGAAATGAATGCACGGTGCACATGGGTGCTTGTTTCTCAGGTGGGTCTCTCGAAGCACCATAGTTCTCAGTTAGGTGAGGAATCACCATCTGGGTGTTGCATTTAGCACCTAGAGTTCCGGATTCAAGAAGTGGTTTCTGGAAATACAAGCACCTCTGATCAACATACAACCTAGCATTGACATTATCTAATGCATTAATGACCACTGTTAGGCTCTCCCAGAAGGAGTCATTAAACACATTCTCAGTATCAGGACCCACACGATTTTGCAAAGCTTCAATGTTGAGCTGAGGATTTATAGATGCAGCAGCAGAAGCTGCAACAGTTGATTTAGCCTGCCCAATGTTCCAATCACGGAACAAAAACTGCCTGCTGAGGTTGCTCTTCTCAATTACATCATCATCAGTGATAGTTAGCTTGCCTTGACTGCCACATGAAACACCCATCAATGCTACATTTTTCAGGAACTCACAACCTAGTGCCCCAGATCCAACTATAAACACTTTCGAATCCTCCAGCTTCTTCTGAAGTTTGGAGCCAAACACAGATATTTGTGCATCATATCGGCTATTCAATGGTTTAAAATCACTGGGGTCCAACGGTTCAGCAGGAAGGGACTCCACTGAGTCAAAATAGAAGAACTGTTGAAAACAAAGTGATCTAAGGTTAATTTTCCACTAAAAATGGAGTTGAAGGCAGTCAGCAATATATATCGCCTGTGAAAGATATCACAAATTAAAGAAAGTTGAACAAAACTACCCAGATTAGGTTCCTGTGAAAGCAATTGAGTGGAGAAGATGCCAATACACCCTCTATTAAACAAAAGAGGCCTACAATTCTCACGAAACCAAAACTGCCTCGTCTCACAGATCACAGTTAAGAGATGCTTAAAACTTCAAACGAGGTTCATCAATTTGCCATTAATTAGACTTAAAATCCCAATAGCAAAGCAAGAAGGTGTACCTTGTAAGTGTGGGCATCATATATGCACACATGATAGATAGTCAATACACAACACACAATGACACAAATATATGAGTGAGAGAGAGAGAGAGAGAGAGAGAGAGAGTAGTTTCTGCCAACCTGAAACAGAGGGTGAAATTTTCCAGAACATGCCTTGACAACCTCTTGTCCCACAATTCCTCCAAACATGGCAGCCATGGGATTCAATACTGCCCTGGAACCAAAAGAAAAGTGCCTCAGAAGTTTTGGGTTAATATCTTCAATTTTTCCCTCTCCAAGGCACTCATTGACGTCAGCAGCAATAGATGTGAGCTTCTGAGCATCCTCTTCTGATCCAGCGACAGGGAAGCGGCCTAACTCAGAAATAAACTTATCCAGTGCTTGGAATGCTATGTGTAGCAGAGGTGGGCGGTCAAACTTTGAAAAATCACTTAGTAGAAAATCACCAGGATCTTTAAGAGCTTCTCTCAATGGCTTGAAATTCAACACCTTGGGCTGTTTCACTTGTGTGACAATGCCACCTTTGACATACGTACCAAAATTAGTGGTGTCCCCCTCAAGTGTAAATGAGTACGGCCTTGCACTTTTAATCTTCCTCGGCTTTCCATCATTGAGCTCTGTCATTCCATGAACTTCAGAGAACACAACAAGATCCCCATCCTGAAACTCGAGCCTTTCATCATCGACACATGATACTAGGGCAGGGTTGTCACTGCTGATGGATGCAATTATACCCGTATGTGGATCCTCGCCATCAACATCAAAAACAGTAAACTCAGGACCAAAGTCACAGAAGACAGAACCAAAAAGGCCTCTTACTTCAGTCTTGATGAAGGAAATGGGAGGCTGATGATTATGGCAGTAGTCATCAAACTCAAGGGCTTTCTCAAGACTTATATCAGTGAATACAACAGTCTGCACCAGTCAGAAAATAACCAACTAAATGCAAGATGAAATAAGCAATATACATAACACGAGAGAACACAGAGGGCGCCATGAACACTTTAGCCTAGACTTTACTAGTTAAATTTTATTCTTCCAAGTGTCCAAATTCCATAGTCTCTGGTCTACTAGCAAAGTCCTAGCAAAACAAATGGTTATCAAATTACATTTCTATCCAGCACTAGAATTCAATGCT